TGAAGTGCCATTGTTACACAAATCGCAATATTTGAATAAGGACACAAAGGAGCGGAAAAAAGTCTCTTTGAAGTTAAACGAAAACTACTTAAATATTCCATCTGTTTCTACGACGGAAAGAATCTCAAAATAAAAAGACGGATGCAATAAACTCTAGGCCATTAAAGTAGGAAACCTAGGTGCGATTTTACAGCTCTGATATAGAAAACAATACCTATCTTAATTGCAGTAGCGCAGCTCAGGAAATAAAAAACGGAAAAGCAATTAAAAGTTTCTGCTTATTTATGCAAGATTGGTTTGGAAACCATCGCATGAAAAGAAATTAGATTTACGAGTATAAACTCAGCTGCTATCTACCATGAAAACCAATGTTTCCAGAAAGACCATTAACACTTATATTTACCTAAAAAAAACCATGTACTAAATGACAAAAGTGCCGACAAGCAGGTGCATATGATGAAAGCGAGTAACAACAAAAATCTATTCAAAAGCTACTGTGGTTTTTTTATGCATTTTTTGATTTATTAAAATGAAAGGACTTGAAATGGTTAAATGTGAAAGTTTACGAATGAATATGTACCGAATAACACATACGGGAAAAGTCAGTAAATTTTCCCGTAACAAATTCTTCCCTAAGAGGGCGATGGAGGAAAATCTTCAATTTCAAAGATAGAAGATATCGGAAAAGAAGAAATCCGTAGGTCCTTCCGAACCAAAATGTCTTTGCTTATGAAAGTTTCAACCAATATCTAGTAAACTGACCACAAGCCTCTCGAATCGAAGTTTAAGAAGTCGCCTCTATCAACTCCTTGCCGTCCCCAAATAATGCTTTTCAGGCTAGAACGAATCTGTTAGTTAAGTACAAACCTGGTTTCCAAATACTCTTAGCTGACCATTTGTCTAGAGCCGCACAGGATGAAACCTCTGGGCCAGAGGAATCATATGAAATATTTTCCTTGGAGCTGAAGAGCCAAGACCGTATGCAAGCCCTGAAGGTCACACCAGAACGACTGGATCAACAAAAACCAAGTGCCAATCAAGATTCGGGAGTATTGTTCTTATCGTGACGTCCTGATAGTACATAATGGTGTTCTGTTCAAAGGCTCGAGAGTAGTCATCTCTTAGTTACTGAGACCTAAAGGAAAGTCCAGGTTCCAATCCAGCCGTTTAGGAGCAGAGGCTTGCCTGCGTAAAGCTAGAGACACTGTATTCTGGCCTAGCATGAATGCAGAAGTGCGTGATTAGATCAAGCAACCTTCAATTTACAACGAATTTCAAGCTAGGAATCAGAAGCTTCCATTGCAGAGTCACGAATTTCCTGATCACCCGTAGAGTGGAGTAGCTTCTGATCAGTTCAGACTTCATGCGTGTCGACTTCTACTTGGATTTCATGGAATTCAAGTAAATGGAAGAAAACACCTCCAGTTCTGTAATTTAAATATTCAAGGAACGATTTAGCAGAAGTGGCATTCCGGAAAAACTGGAAACAGACAACGCTCCTCAGTTTACAAGCTATGGATTTCATCACTTTCCGTTCGATTGGGAGTTCACCCACCTATTTTCCTTCTCGCATCACCAGACTCGACGGAAAGGGGGAGTCTGCTGTGAAATTTGTTCAATCTGCACCGATATCGCAGAGGTCATGGGTTCAAATCCCGTACGGGCCTGAATTTTTTTCAGGTCTTATTTCAACTACTAGTCCAGTAGTGTTCATAGCTGCGAGGATCTCTTATATTCGTTTCTTCACTGCAGTGCATAGATATGATTTTCATATATCCACAATCATTATTGTTCAATCTTTGTTCAAAAAGGCTCTCAAAGACAACAAAGACCCGTGATAAGCCCTGTTGGACCAACGAAATACACCAATAGACTCTCTGACTTCAAAGCTGAAATTAAAAAGGCAAAAGGCAAAATGGTAACTCCATCGCTCCTCCTGTACCCTGTCAGAAATTTAAGTTGGGCAAGTGGATGGGTGCTTGTATTGAGGGGCAATCCGACATGTCCCATGTGGTAAAATCCAGTTCAGACAGTGAAATGCTCCATAGAAATCAAGAATTTCTGAAGCAAGCTGAACTACCAGCTGAACAACGAAGCCAGTTGAAGACAGTGACAGCCAGTCTTTATAAAGAATGAAAGCCAGCCTTCACAGTGGTATTTTAAGTTATCTAATCCTGAACCGAAGCAAACATCGACACCAAAATCTGTTCCAATTAAGAAAACTCGAACAAGAGTTGTAAAGCCCCCTCCAAGTTCAGTGACTTTGTTGTGTAGTTGGCTGTGCGATTATTGACTTCAGCTCAATAGAACTCTATGCATTCATTTTAGAGACTCTGACTATCGGTTACGTTTATATGTTTTGTTTCCGAAGTAAGCTCACTCCAAAAGAGGGGAGATGTTAGGATATATGAATCTTGCGTTACTAGTCACGTTACTTGTTCCCTTCTCTGGTCATTAAAGTCAGTTGCTACTGGTCACTGAGTTTATGAGTCACATGCACGTCTTATCAGCGATGGCAACACATTATAACATGGAAAATTGCTGGTAAGTTTTAGCGAGAACAAAAGTTTAAGCAGTCTAGTTTAGAGTAAAAGGCCTCCTAGTTCAATACATTCTTCCCGGGAGTTTTAAAGTTATGGCTTTCACTTTCGGATATAAAACGCTTCGAATAATCTTAAGTTGACGGAGTCGTTTTCTTGTAAGATCACATTCCCATCAATTCTTTGATTGTTAATTGTCATTTGGCTCGTTAGGATGAGTCTTTTAATGGACAAATTGTCTTTGTTCAAGAGCTGTCGCACGAAATCATGTGGTGCTTCCGATGTAGAGTTTTTTTTTACATCCCTTACATGCCTGTGATTAGATACCCAGCGTTTTTTGCAGGCACAGGTTGGTGCTGAGATGGGGTAAAAAGTTAAACGGTAAGATAACAAAGATCCAAAACAAAGATGCAACTGAGGTTTTTCTATTGAGAATTTTCAGCCTGCATCAAAACTTTGTCCCATCACTATTAATTTTTGCGCATAAAGTCACAAGAAATGGTATGACAGGACTGATAGCAGCAAGAACCAAGGAAACATGAGCAAAATGAAGCTGAAATTCTTATATCAAGTGATAGATTGCATAAGATTTTGACAAAATGTCATGGAAATAAAAAAAGCAGTTGGTTATAAGGCTGCAACGAAAACTCTTTAATATTCAAATAACTCCAAAAATGATTTGTGTGTGAAAATTTTAATGGTGGCTGAATAAGTAACGCATTTATCAACTGTTTCAAGCAAAGTAAAGAATGATTTCAATTAAAAGTGGTAACAGCACGAAATAAGAGTATTTCAATTACCCTGTTTAAAGTTGCAGAGTGCTTAAACATTTTTCTCAAGAAAATCCTGTTAAAATTTTCCTAACAAAAAGAAAAGTACAGTTAATAGAAATGTAAATGACGGGCTAAAACAAAATAAAGGGTTTGACTGGTAAATCCTTTTAAAGCAACCTTACTTTGTGTTATCATTAAAGAAAATACAACGACAGAGTAATTACCAAAGTTACAACATCCGGATTTTGATTTAGAAACACTCTGTACAATGGCCTGGGACAAAAAGAATTTGGAAGTTTTTACAAGCTTGGGAAAGTGAAAGAAACCTCTTAATAGTAGAAAACATGGACAGACAAAGCAGCATATTAAAAAAAAATGGTAAAAAAGGGTAGATACATCCCAGCCCCGATAATGTATAGTAATATACCAATGGTATATGAAGTGACCTTGAGGACTAAAAGCCACAAAAGATCATAACAAGGTCCACAAGCAAAAAAACTACACAGGGAGCTTTCGTTGAACACTAGTAAAAAACACAAGGCTGCAAGCTAAACACTCAATAGTTTGTGCTAAACGTATTAGGGGAAAAATTCATGTGCGTAGTGTTATTTCGGGTTATATTTCAATTCGGGTTTTGGTTTTCAAGTTTAAATTTATATCTTGTTTTTGTTCGTTCTTTGACTCGACCGGTTGAGCCGTAAAGAATGATGAACGAGTGGTTCTATTCAAATCGTGGCTATCACTATGATTGTAATTATTATAATCGAAAAATTGAATTGTCAGTGTACAACGTAAAATATTATATTTAGGGTTTTCATAGTTTTTGGGCAAATATCCACCACATGTATTCCTAGTTCCGCATTTTAAATATTTGGGTTATTCGGGTCTTTCCTTCTAGTGAGTTAAATAAAATGTATAAAAAACCACAGTAGCTTTTGGAACAGATTTTTTCTGTTACTTGCTTTCATCTTATGCACCTGCTTGTCGGCACTTTTGCTATTCATTACATGGGTTTTTTTATTTCCCAAGCTGCTCTGCTGTAATTAAGATAGGTATTGTTTTCTATACCAGAGCTGTGAATTCGCACCTAAGTTTCCTACTTTAACTGATGACCTCGAGTTTATTGCATCCGTCTTTTTCATTTTGAGATTCTTTCCGTCGTAGAAACAGATGGAAATTTTAAGTAGTTTTCGTTTAACTTCAAAGAGACCTTTTTCCGCTCTTTTGTGTCCTTATTCAAATATTGCGATTTGTGTAACAATAACACCTCACACCAGTTAGTTCTTAAGCAAGTACCTTGTACAGCTTTGATGATTACAAACTTGAGTACGCTAGAGGTCATGTCGCTTGTTGGCCTGACCTAGAATAAAAGTACTGTGGAACCAAAATGCTGTTTCATCCTTGACGTCGGCACAAGTTCACTAGAAGCAGATCTCCGTGTGCCAGGAAATCGTGACGAATTTCCGTTCTCGCAAGCCGAGTGGTCTCTACCGAGCTAATTTCGCCCCCGTTTGTACGTTTTCCGAAAATTTCAGTGTAGCGAGCGAAAACTTATCGTCACATACGACACAAGCCGACAAAATAGATAAACACTCTTGGTTCACCACTGTTCAGTACAATTGGATGAAATAACAACTTTAAAATTAAAGGATTGATGAGCAAAATGACTGATGAGATTGACCCCAGATAACAAAGGGTATAAAATTTTATTAATAAGGGAAAAACTACTTTAATTGTGGTCGATCTATTAAACGCTTAGCGAGAAAACAGCATTAGTTTTGGTTTCTCTTGACAGGTTCCGAAGTCAATACGGTGGAATTACAATTAATGAAATTACAAATAATCACTTTCACAGAACAATAAACAATTTAACTCAAAGGCAAATATACAACAAACCTCGCACAAACATGTTAAATCAGTTAGTAGTAACCTAATAATAGCCTATGGCCTTCTGTTTGTTTCCTACAAATGGCGTTCCCTCGCTTAACTAAGCAAGCATGCGAAACTACGTGACGTCACACTAGCAGTGATTTACACCAGAAAACAATGGAGTCACCTCCTTCCTCCTGGGACAAACTAACTTTCAGAATTTATCATAATATGTGTTGAAAATGGACAACCGTCACCATTTTGAATCTTAAATTTTGAAGCAGCCTGGCTGCTTAACTGAGAAAAAAGAAAAAATTTAGCGACCCGACAACACGTGAATTATGGTTTGATGAGTCGAACTTCTCCTCGCGGACATCTCTTTGTTGAGACTTTGTTACAAAACAAAGCGCCTTATAATTTGAATGGGTTTCCCATTTAATCCACGGATTGGGCCTAAAAGAAGAAAGATTAAGAAAAATCGCTGAACTATAGTTTATCTCTTCACTAACCTCAACTACATCTCTGTTCGACTATCAAAATGAGCGTATGGTTTTATAGGTTGATGTCGTGATTCAGTCATGCAATATGTTCTCGTTTTCATAATGTAATCCTCAAGATTCTGCCTTAGTACGTCAAATAACGACTGATTTCTGTAAACTAAAGGAGCTTCTGCTCGAATAGTGTCGACGTAACTTCTCCAGTATACACTCATGTTCGACACACTCTTTGGGTATGAGCGATGGGTTGGGTTACCCGCAGTAATAGGCACATACATCAATGCCTGGCCTCGAAATATCAGTTCTACAGCAGTACACATGTATCGATGCAGCGACCACCAACTTATTTTTTCGTACTGCGTGCGGTAAGGGAAAAGATGCTCGATAGCTTTATAATGAAATGCATTGAAAACACCATCGAACCATACTGATGTTATCACAAGGGGATTGTCCGTCTTTTTACATATAGTCCGTCGTCTATCCTTGGTCCAACTTGCCCCATAGTGAACTCCATAATCCAAAACGCCAACTACAGGCTCGTAATCTAAGAGCCATTGTTCGAAGACTCTAAACGGCGGAAGCTTCTTCATTTGTGGCGGAGCAAATGAATTGAAATGCAGCATCACATCATCATCCATAAAAATGTAATAATGGTATTTTGGGGATCTCGTTATTGCAGCAAAATACAGCACATTTCGTCCTGTTCCCCATCCAGTATTAGGATCGAACAGATAAGTGATGTGGGGCGATTTTTGCACTTGACATTTAGTACGAAAGCTTAGCACTATGACATCACAGTTACATGTCTCGGGGTCGCCGATCTCGGAAGAAGAGGCAAAGTTTGAAGGGAGGCATTGTTCTGTTTGAGTGAGATAAATGAAAACCTTTGGCGACGAGTTATTCGTGGGTTTTTCTGTGTCTGTAGCTTGAGTTGGAACAACCTTTCGACTGACGATCTCATCTACGATAGACAAAATATTAAAGTTTATTTTGAAGTACTCGCAATCAAGCCTGACCTAACCAGAATTAATTGAATAGAGGGGGAGACTGATTCAATGTAGAAGTTTGGAAATAGCCAATTATTACGCTTCTACGTTGTAATGATTGGGGATCTCTCCAATGAAAAGAATTTCAAGAATGATCATCTTTCCTATAAAAGAAGAAAAAAGTAAAAAAAACAAACAAAAACAAAACAAACAAAAGAACCAATTTCAAGGCAGATGAATTAAGACCAATAACGACAATCGACATTTTTGAGGTGGTTTATTTTCGTAGGCAGCACTTTCGAGCTTGTTTATCTCGTGTCTTCCTACCACAAGGAAACAAAAAGAATCGGCGGAATCAAGCTCTTCGAGGTTTAGAACGTGCTGATAAATAATTTCTAAGATATTCTCGTTCTCTCAGAGACCAAAATCGATAACAGCTATATCCAGAGAGCTAGTATTATGCTAAAGAATCCCAGCCAAATCGATAAGTTATAACAAATTTTAAAGGTGGCCTCATAATTTATGCAAGGTCCGACCTCTAAACAAACAGTTCATTGGTCTAGAATCAGCTACCATTGAGGTCAGAACTCAAAAGGACTCATGGAGATCTATTTTGGTTCATCTAAGCAGACCGTCAAAAATGGCCTAAGAAATCTGGTCATCCGAGCTAGAACGACCAATTGAATTGATAACCAGACTTTCGGACGATTACACACCAATTGGAGACGTGAATTGTAACATTCTGGAACCCTACAAGGAGCCAAAGTTAGGGAGACATCTACTAAACCTATGCGACGATTACAATCTAAAAAGCCTTGTAAGTGCGCCAACTAGAGCTACGGCAAAAAGCGATACTCTAATTGACGTAATTCTAACATCCAAAAGAATTGAATTCTTGCACACAGGTGTTTTCAACCCAGATATAAGCGATCATCATCTGGTATGTGCAATTACGAGAGCTAGGTGCCCCAAAAGGGGTCCTAAGACTTCCATGAGAAGAAAGTTTACGAGATTTGATTCTATACGATACAACGGAGATGTTGTCTTTACTCCTTTCCATGTTGCAAGCACCTTTAAAGACATCAATGATGTGTACTGGGCATGAGAAAAACTGCTAAAAAGACGTGCTTGATGATCATGCTTCCTTTTTAAAGAAGAAAACTACGAAACGATAACCGCCCTACTTTAACTCTGAAGTGATAGCCGCTATTTACTTTTGAAATCAATCCAAGTGCAAACATTATGTCACGAAAGATCAAAGCGATTGGGAAAAGTATCGACAACATAGAGATCGCGTTGTTAGCCAGAGAAGATCAATGGATACTTCGCCAAGCAATGTCCCAAACTATTTAATTAACTGAAGGCGAAACCATCATTGAAAAACAAAACGAGATTGCAGATATCCAAAATAAGCACTCTCTTATCATAAGCGCACCAGCTGTGAGCGACCTGCATCAATGATCACGCCAGTATTCCTGTCATCAAGAAGAATATCTCTCCTAATGAATTTTTCAACTTCAGGACGCGATCTTATCCCTCCAGGGGCTCTAAAAGGACATTCCAGTCTCAGTCAGGAACGCAAATACGCCAACTGTACAGAGAAACTAAATTTTGCACTATAGCTGTAGTTTCGAGTTGGATCAATGACAAGGGCATTTTTCTGAACGCCAAGAAAAGGGAATCCTAAATATTCAGAAGATGCAATTCCCAACAGAAACAAACGGAAGAAGACGATGTCGGCTTCTTAATCGATGGGACACCAATAGAGCCTTCTATCACGTACAAACTCTTAGGTAAATAGAATAAGAAAGATAGTAAGTGTATTATATTTACTGACATGACGCTATCGACATTGCTGTTCCTAGCAGTATGCACGGCACGTGTCATATGAACTTCGTAATAAACCTCGCTCACTGTGGAGTCTCTGCGGCAGAGAAGTTTCGAATATCTTGGTAACAGCGGATATTTTTAGGCTTTTCACTCTGTTCACTCAATAAAATTTGTTGCTTGGGAACCCAATCGATAAGTTGAATCATTAGTAGTATCAAACACAGACTACAATATTTGGGCAACATAGTTTATTGACTAGCAGCACGAGACGCTGGCACTAGAGATCAATAAACTAAACCTGTATGGGTGGTATGGGCGGTAAAGCGTTGACTAGCTCGAAACTGACAGAGCGTTAGAGCGATCTGAAACCGATACACCGGAACAGGCAAGACTAACTGATCAGGGGCGTGTTCTCTACGATAATTACCCATCATCACCCACGGTGATCATTGTATGTTAGTTAATTTTGAGAAATTATTTGATACGATCTTCAGTTTGTTATCTTGAATCTGCGATAGCATTACACAGCGAGCGGCTAATTTCTGGTAAACGGGACAACACGAAGTAAATAGGCCTCTAAAGCTTTCGGAAGCGTATTTCTCCTTGTTCGAACTAAGTTATGTTACTTTCATTTTCCTCAATATTTACCTGCGTCTTAATTTAGACTCTGACGGCATAATTCATGTGATGAGTATCTAATGCTGTAAATCATTTCTAATTCGTTGACTTACCTGTTCTGCAGGTGACGTTTATGAGCTGGCTCATTCCTAGTCTGAACTCCGCTTGGTAGGAAACGTACAAGAGATAGGTCGTGAAACCAATAATAAAAATTGAACTAACCACTTTAGCTCTCGTCGTTAAGATCATTTTGGTTCTGTTTAAAGTCACCCCGTCATGAACGTTTAAGCCTGCGGATGACAAAATATTTTTATTCCTATGGTATAAAATATCACTTTATCGCGACATAGAAAGAATGCACAATCTAATAAATTAATTGCGATTTTTGAGACGCCATTATCCCATTATACTGGTGGCTAGTCGAGGGGAAATATATTATAGTATTGGGCGGAGTCGCGTAGCAACCTGAGCTAATAAAAAAGGAATTGAGTCCGAGTTCGTTTGAGCTACGAGACCATGGAACTTGATTTAAAGCTAGAGAAGTTTGTCAAGAAGGGCGGTTGGAACTATGCGCCACTTTTGAAACTCTTAATGGTGGCCAATTTACGTTACCAACTCAGTTGATAACAACAAATCACCTGATTGAAAGTTCGATACAGAAATTTCAAATGAAGAAGGAAAAAAGACAAGGCCAAGAACACGTGCTAACACAAGTTTTATTTCACGCACGATTCAATTTCACAATACACTATTTCAACTCCATTTCAGAGTCATGATCATGATCGGCGCGAAAGGCGAGTGACGTGTCAGAAGCTGATTGGCGATATCAAACACGTAAAAAATATCGTATTTTTTCACGTATGTTGTTACGGCTTTTCTCAGGGCTGGAAATCCTTGTATAACACCGTAATTTATATGATAAAATCGTTTGCTTCCCGATGGAGTCACTTCGGATGTGGATCGCGACTTTGGACTGCATAATGCCAGTCTTCTTCAGGCGAGGAAGACTAGCAGAATATATGCAGCCGAAATGTCGCGATTCTATTGGAGGTGACCACATAGTGTGAAAATTGATCTTATCATATGAACTACAGTGTTTTACAAGGATTTCCAGGCTTGGGAAAAGCCGTAACAACACACGTGAAAAATACAATATTTTTTACATGTGTTTGATATCGCCAACCAGCCGCTGACACGTCACTCGCCTTTCGCGCCACTCAGTCAGGTTGATGAATGAACAACAAAGCCTTCGCCATTCATGGTCGTTTGTCGGAATCTTTTCGGATTATGGCTGCTAAGACACTGACAAAATCCGTATCGCTTACAGACAGTAACGTTCAAATTTTCCTAGAAGGGTAAGAAAACCCCAATACGAAAAGAAAAACCGAAAGTTGCGTATTCAGTGGCTTTAGTAATAACATTTCTCGCCGCTGAGAACGAAAATCGACAAATTCAAGATTTGCCGCAGGCTGCTTTTAGCTGTGTACCTGAAAGATTTCTTCTGTCGGTAAGGACCAATCCAGTAACTGATAATTTTGTATATTGAATTTTAGGCCCACTGTTTGTTTTTGAAGTGATTCAACGCATGTTTTCATCTTGAGTGCGCCAACGCACTTTAAGATTTTTATTCTGAGTGTCCATCCTTTCATTTTCATTCATTAATAAACTCTTCGAGTTAAACACTCGAGGAGAAATTCCATATCTACGCGCGCCCATGTATTATTTTCTATATATTTCTCTTTTGAAGTGAATGGATTCTTTCATTTAGTCGCAAGGACCTGTCCCACGAACAGTTCTCACGCAGGGACCTGGATAATTTGGGGAGAGAAGTCCTGGCGACTTCTTTCACGAATTCAAACCAGTTTGAATTCGTGGGACAAGTCGCAGGGATCATATTTTGGATATCTGATGAAAAATGGTAGTTCATTGGAAGGGACTTAGTCCTCGCTACGAGTCACGGGAACTAGTCCTTTCATGCGTGCCGATCTCATATAACTGTTCTACCTCTACAAACTAAGTTTAGAGCAAACATCAAATTTTCATCCGGTTGTTCAAAGATGGATAAATTTATCCACTGGATAAGCTTATCCGGTGTATAAGATGCCTATCCACTGCATTGCTATCCAGCGGATAAAAAGTTGTTGCAGAAAGCACGGATAGTGAGGCGTATAACTATCCGATGGACAACTCGTTGTCTAGGCAGTTGTCATGGTGATAACCATGGCGCTGCCTGACCTCTTTGCTTGCACGTGCTAATGGCGAGACCACCTGGCAGAAAATGTTGCTCCTTACCCGGCAAAACACGCCAGAAGGCCGAACTTTTCACGTACCTGCAAAATGTGCAGTTACTTTTGAAGAGGCGGAAGAAAATATATAAAAAAAAAACTGGACTAAATTTTCCACTACTTTACACTTTCGAACAAAAACAATAGATTTGGATAACTTGTATTTCTGGAACCAACAAAGTTTAATTGACTAAAAATGTAAGCTAATGCGTATCACCATGAAGAAATTGCCTCTTCATTCTGACTTAAGAATAAACAATCACATCCTGGAGGAAACTTCTGAATTTTCTGACCTTGGCCTATTTACTAGTAGCAAGTTGTCATGGAATGCCCATGTTAACAAAATAACTAGTAACGCAAACAAGATTCTTGGTCGTATCAAAAGGACATGCAAGGGTATGAAGGATATCACTACCTTGTGAACATTGTTTAGTGCACTCACTGCCTTGAGAACATTGTTTTGTGCACTCACTGCTTTGAGAACACTGTTTTGTGCACTCACTGCCTTGAGAACATTGTTTTGTGCACTCACTGCCTTGAGAACATTGTTTTGATCCAGTTGGAGTACTGTACTATGTCGTATGGCCGTCTCAAACAGGTAGGAACATTTTAACAAGTTAGAAAAATTCAGGAGAGCCCCTAAGTTTATTCCGAAGTCAGATGATGACCACGACATGCGTAGAAAACAACTGAATTTGTTGTCTTTGGAGGACAGACACTTTTTGTTTGATGTTTTATTCTTGTATAAAGTTCTTAAGTATAGGCATATCTACTTATATTCAATTTTATACCAATTCTGATAGGTACCACTTCAGGGGAAGGGATAAACTTACTCTTGAGAAGAACTCTGCCAGAACTACTAATTGTAAAGCAGTTTTTTTAAGGATATGTGGAATAAATTACCCTTATCAGTGTGTCAGGCACCCACCCCAGTTTTAAGAAGGGTGCAAGGGACTTCTTGCTATCAAGATATGACTGATTTTTAATTTTTTATTCATACATTCTATCTAAGTTTTGATGATTGGCATTTATTTCTTATTTGATGCTCTTGTAGGGCATATTACATATATCTTTTGTCTTGTCTTTTCTTTTAGGTGGACTACCTTTGTATGAGGTCTGTGACTCTTTTGTAGGCTATTCTAATGATGATGTTGTTTATTGTCATCGAATTGTAATAAATTAATAAATTAATAAATAAATAATTAAGTAACTAAGAGTCTAATATGCCAAAAGAACTGTCATGGAGGTGAGAGAAAAGTGCAGAGGAATGGTGAGCAGAGCAAAGAGAGAGCACAGAAAATGTGTCACTGCAAAAAAGAAGACTGGGGGTGGAAAGAAACCAGATTCCTCAGAGGCTACCACCGCAAAAATTATTGAGCTTTTTGAAACACACCCGTGTTAATGTATGTTATTGTCTGCTCCCTATATTTTCATGACACTGATAAACCATTTCCCAGATGTGTACACATGCTTTAATCACATAATGGTTTTAATTTGGTTGCCTTTTGTTACTAATACATCAATCAGCTACGTAAGAAGCCTCAAAATCCCCCACCATGCACCTCTTGGACAGCTTCCCGGGCATTTGAAATTTTAAATATTGGTTTGTTGAAATTCCCATGCCTCTGGGCAAAAATTGTGTTCAAATGTCCCAACCAAATTTTTTTTTCACAATTTTGCAAGCTTTTATTTGTATCCTGTTATCATGATCTGAAATGAAGGGAAAGGAAAAAAAACCACTGATTTTAAAAATTTGAAACGAAATTGATAAAATACACAAATGTTCATTGGTGAAATAGCAACTGCAAATATACAGCAGAGACCATTAGTATTTTAAATGCATTATAAAACTGACATATTCAGCTCTATGTTGTAAAACTCATCATTTAATGGAGTGTTTTAGTTTCATGTAATTATTTTGAGCATTTCTCTGATTTAATTGTAATGTATATATTTTCAAATAAAAAAAATGAAATATTTCATGAGGCCTATCCTTTAACTCAGAAAAACAGGGGGGATACTTTTAAAGTTAATTGATCATTCCATGTAATACCATGATGCTTAAGGCGGCAATTTGTGCTTGTAATGGCACTTTAATGGTAGAGTCAATACAAACAACAAAATCTTCATTTATAGAGTGTGAATTGCTGTTGAAATCAAACCTCCATTTGAAATTGTTTCTTCACTTTACATTCCACAAATTACAGAGTGAATAAAATACAATATACTAACATGATTCCATTCAGTTTAAGTTGAATTATTAACCTTTCATTACTTTTGTTGCTTTCAAGATGTGACTTGTATAGTCAAAATGATCACAATTAATGTACTTGCAAAAAAAAGATAACCAAAGATTAAAATACAAATTCCACGCAAACACCTTAGCCAGAACTGAGTGTGATGAGCATAAAAAGAGTGAATGATTTAATTTTAAGGTACGATGGACAGACTGTACTGGGTATTCCCATAAGAATGCCAAACCACTTCATCCCAATGTCTAAACATAAAGATTGTCGTAAATCATTCATTAGACAAAGGAAAACAATCTATGAAAACTGTTGAAGAAGGCAAAATATTTTGAACTTTTTGCAAAACAATAAATGTGGTTTCCTAACAACATTACTTCCAGAACAAGGGGTAAATAAAAAAAAACCCTTGCGAACTGAATTCCCAGTTTTCTGGGAATTCCTAGGAATTCCTAGGAATTCTCAAAAATTCCCAATTATGCAAATGACCCTTGCAAACTGAATTCCCAGTTTTCTGGGAATTTCTGGGAATTCCTAGGAATTCTCAAAAATTCCCATCTATGCAAATTAACTCTGATTTAAAAAGCTTGGAATTACTGGGAATTTCTGGGAAAGGAAGACTCCAGTTTTGTGAGGACTTGGAATCCCTAGGAATTCCTAAGAATTCTCAGCTTTACAAACTACCTATAATTTAAGAAGTGTGGAACTCTTGGGAATTTCTGGGAATTGAATTTGAGGCAATTTTAATACCCTGAGGTC